GAATTCTGCCTATATAAATACTCATTCTACATTAGGTAATACACATAATGCTACATGAAAGGAAAAGTGGGAAAATCAGACATATGTAAGAAGAATAAAAAGAAAAGAGAAAGAACAAAAAAAAAAAAAAAAAAACAAAAGAAAAACAAAAACGAAAGGGAGGAAACAAAATACGACTACCTACACACACAACGCGTCATGCATATACACTCCCCGCCGCCTTCTTCACTAAACGCCTTCACACACGTTGTCTCTGTGTGCGTACACAAAAAACCCCAGTATAACAACATCAATTCTTCTTCCGTCGTTGCCTCATCCTCGTAAACATTGTGCGCGCGTGTAAGAAACGAGCAGAGATTGTCTCTCCGTGCACACGGGTCGACCAACGCGGCCACGTGCAACACGCATTCGACGAAGGATTGTCCGAGTGTAAGAACGGAGGAGAGATTGTCTCTCCGAGCAAACGCGGTTCGACGAAGTAGCCGGGTAAAGCAGATTGTCCGAGTACCGCGACGACCAACGCGGCCAAGTGTAAGACGGATTCGACGACGTAGCCGAGCGTGAGAAGGTACACATTGTCTGTCCGAGCAAACTCAGCCGGGTAAACGGGATTGTCGACGAGCAAAGCGGCGGAGTGTACGGACGATTCGAAGACGTAGACGAGTGTAAAGAAGGAGGCGAGATTGTCTCCGAGTGCGGATCAGTAGAGGGAGCAGAGCGCGGCGGGCAAAGACCGCAACACACATATTATGTGGGGGAGCAACAACGATCGGCACGGACGGCGGACGGCAGCAACGACGGAAGAAGAAGTTGATGTTGTTGTCGCTACTGCGGGGTTTTAGGTGTACGCACAGAGAGACAGTGTGTGTGAAGGCGTTTAGTGGAGACTGGTGTACAAAGGCGGGAGCGGGCGTTATTCATGACGCGTTGTGTGTGTACGGTAGTGTAGTAGTACTTTTTTTTTTTTTTTTCTTTTTTGTTGTTTTATTTTTTTCCTTGTTTTCGTCCCACCATTTATGGGCTGTGTGATAAAATTCAGATAGGTGATGATTTGTTCATGTGAGATGTTTCTGCAGGGACCATACAAGGAAGACATATTGCATTGCCGAAGAATCTGCATAATATGTAATAGAATATTGTGTCCATATTATACTCAAGCAGTTATCTGACAGATAATGCTTTCATCCGATGCATTATATTGCTTCATGATAAGGAAAATATGTCGCATCAGACGTTAGGGGCTTTATTAGCACATTATGTGCTGACACGGGGTCTAGTTGATAACAAGGAGCAGTATAAGGTAATTTATTAACACCAACACCGCGGGGAGTCGTGTACTTATAACAGCCTCTATACATGATAGTATGTATACGCGCCTGTATATAAAATTGTACGCATGCGACCGTGCACTAATTCCATATTAATCATACAATGCGCACATACCGTACGTGCAGCACGTACAATAGTATGTGTACATATGAATATGGAAGAGCAAGCTAATGTGGCCAATTATGCACACACATATATGTTCCTTATGCACGATGCAGACACGCCTATGGACAGATATGAAAGCGCTACTCGAAGAATTTGTGAAATATATGGAACGTGAAGACCTAGACGCCCTTGCAGCTAATTGTTTGAACGCGGGTTACAAACATCCGACCAGGGGACCCCAACCGGTCGTAGCTAACGTGGGCGATAGACTTATGTGCACACTCATGTCACGAGCATTATTTTTCATGAACAGGTGGAGTTCGAAGTCCGCCAGCACGGACAATAACGACCCTCATAATGCAGCGTTGAAGGAACATATAAGGTGCGCCATAGTAAATATATTTATGTACATATTGAACGAATCTCCATGCAAAAGTGCAATGGGTGTATATTATGCATGGTACACAATGAAAGAGATGGAGCCAACGCTAGGGCGTGGTTTAATAACCACAGGTAAATGTGAACAGGGACAGTTTCAAAACATAACAATACAGGAATTCGACATGGAGCAAATGATTAAGAACTGGTTAAAGAAAAACAAGAGCGTGACTGACAAAATTGGAGGCCAGGGTATAGAAAGCACATGTAGGAAAACATTAGCACAACTTGACGGGGCCACAAAGGGTACACATACAATGGGTGAAAAAATAGAAATGAAGAAAGAGGAAAAAGAAGCTATACGTAAGTTAGGCAACGAACTGAAGCTCATAGTTGAGGAGGTAAAGACAGCAGTAGCGCAATGCGCGCACGCACCTGAACCATGCATGGAGTCTATCGACGCTGTCTCCCGTAGCGAGCCGCAGGATGACGCCAGTAAGGCCACAGTACCGAACCCTGTGGACAGCGGTACACCAGCACCACCCCCGCAACCAACACCGGTAGCACCGGAAGCCAAGGACGCACCACAGGTACCGACAGGTAAGGACCGATGGGGAGAAAGCACGAATACGGCTGCACACGAACACGAATACCGACCGTACCACTTCGCACGCATGGATGCCGCCATGACCACAACGCACACGCGCGGGGGAACAGCACAACAGCACAGGGCGGCACATCTTCGCTGCCTCACGTAGTGTGAGCGCTGAGCACAGCGGCCACGACGGCAGCGGTAGCTTTAGCAGTAGAGGAACGGCCGGGCGAATATTTTCCCCCCGGGGTGCAACATTTTTGCGGGTGGAGAAGGGGGCATATTAATGCAGCGCTAAAATGTTTCAGTAAACAAACAACAACAAAACAGAGACGGAACTGTGTACACAATATAAAAAACACCCCTTATGTAATGCATGCGTCATCACCATTATGTACTTTTTGTTACTTGTAGGATATAAAATACTTATTCGTTCTATATATATATATATAGGTGTGGGAAGACTTTTCTTCTTTTTTTCTTCTTAACAATGGGTTTCCCCTTATTAATATTCACGAACAACAGATTATATAAGTGTAAAGTAGGCAGCATAAGCACAAAACACATATATATTCGTACAAAAGTACAAACCATACTATAGTATAAGGAAGAACAATAAGGTACGTAATATAAATATGAATAAGCTCATATGACATACAAAGCATACGACATCATAAAAAGGTCGATCCATTACATAGACGAATAACAAATTATGACGTCGAAATAGTCTACAAGAAATAGAATACAGCAAGTTACTTATGCTTTCCTCGGTAATTTAAGTTTCCACGGTATTTTTAATTTCCCATATGCCTTCTGCTTCCTGGGTTCTTCCAGTTGTTTAGGTACCTCTGGTTTCCCGGGTACCTCCAGGTTCTTGTCTTTTTCTGGGAATGTTTCGCACGTCCAAGCTTCCCTTAATATATTTCTTCCTTTCTTTGAGTAGCAGAACCAGAATAGAACGCCCAAATAGATAAGCATTATAAGTGCAGGAAATGTAAACCAGAGCCAGGGGGTGTTCAATATGCTAACACCCCCAACCTCACCTAGGAACATGAACAACGGGAATACGCACGCGAGAAGTAATGGATAACTAAGCACAAGGAATAACATAAGCCCTGAGCGCGCTCCCCTCCCCATTTTACAACGTGGAACTTTCTGCCACATCTCCTTGAACTTGTTCTGCGCTGTACCCCTTTGTGGCTTGCGATTTACATGTCGTGGCTTCTTTACTTTGACCTTGGACTTTAATTTTCTGTGCATGTCATCGAACAACGTGTTCTTCGCAGGACTACCCATAGACCGACCATTGTAAAACTTACGTTGACCCCGTGTCGCCACATCCGTTCCAGCGCTCAACGATACGGTGGTCGTAGCAATTGTACTTGCAGCCGCAGTTCCAACATCTGTGCCATATTCGCTTGTGCCATTACCCGAGGATATACCTATGGTACTCGCCTGACACGCATATAAAAAAAAGGGGGCATACATGGGATTGTTATGGTGTATGTATACAAGGATGTAGAACGTGAAAATACGTGGAAAGGCGGCAGATTTATAATTATTATGAATGAGTTAAGATCTTATCACTATAAATGTGGTAACTCCCCAAAATATAATGGTTCTTATCATACACAATCAGCGATTTGCCCAAAGCACAGGACGAGAATAAATATATAGAAAATTTCACAAGAAACGTCATTGTGTTCGCATTATTTCCTTCGGTGTATAAAATGGTAGAAGTGGCGATATGTTGCGTGTTTATATGTATGAATCATACAACTATTATTTTGCTTTTTCCACATGTACGTGTATAGATTATGCGTGTAATACTTTTGTTCATCGGCCAGTAGTGAACATTGATAAAATCAATTGCGTACGAAATATACTATTCTTACCTAGGTATGTACATATAAATTAAATGAAGTATACATATGCATCATAATATAAATAAAGAATAAGAGAAAGTGCATAAGAACCCCGGATAACCCATTCTTGGTACATATTGTACGACGTAAAAGTTGACTAAAGGGG